GAACATTGAAAACAGCAAACCTTATCTCATGAATGAGGTTCATACACCTCACTAATGGTGATAGGAGATCATGGTGAGCGAAACAATTGTTCCTTGGGAATCAGGGAATTCGTACTTTTTATTAGGCCATTGTATCTTATGAAGTAACCAGCTTGCTAATTTCGTTCTTCTGAATCTTTTCTTCTGAGCATCGAGTAGTGACTCCTTCAATATGGTTGCACTTCCGTGCCGAATTCTGCCCGAAATATCTGGGTTCCAAAATTTACCCTTATCGCTCTTGATAAGTTCAAACGACATCACTTTAAAGTCTTTTCAATATTGCTATGGCTTGTGAAAGTGAGCCGGTCATTCTGATGCTCACTGTTATGATGAAAGCATAAGCTCACAATTCCGACTTAGCTTTAGTCATTTTGCATAAGCTTACATGCCTGTCAATTTCATGATGACTTCAATCATTGCTCTCGTATCACCTTAGGATCAAAGCAAATAGAACTAATGTGCAGTGAGCTTGTGGGATCTCAAATCTGCTTAATCACACACGACTGTGACAAGGAGGGGAGGGGGTCGTAATTTTTGGAACCGGTCAGTGAATCGGAAAGTTCCGTGCAGGGGCCGTAAGGTATGCTTCCCCGAACAGGAGAGGGACCCTCCCTGGTAAGGTATGCTCTCCCCGAAAACTCGGGGAAAAGGCCACGCCCACCGGTTTCGGGGATATCTCCCGATTGACATGCAATCGGGGGATATCCCGTGATTGACATGCAGTCCGGGAGACATCCCCGAGAACCGGTGGCATTGCCTTTCCCCGAGAGTTTTCGGGGAGAGCATACATTACCAGGGAGGGGTCCCTCTCCTGTTCGGGGAAGCATACCTTACGGCCCCAGGTGTTTACGGGAAGGTTTAGCTTAAGCAGCAGTGCCACTTTCTCATAATTTCACTATCTTCGCTGTTACAGAAGCTATTTCCTTCCTAAAAATCCCAAATACGCTTCGCTTAAAACGGATTAGCATACGTTCTTCGAAGGCTGTCATTCAAAGGCTCCTTTCTCTAGCCACGCCTGGAAGTAATGGCAAGCATACTGAGCAATTTATACACATTTGATAGAAGCGCGTGGAATGCAGACACGCCAAATCCCGTCACGCGTCCACATATTACTGTGAGGGTCGAGAATTGCCAACTTTAGTTAGTTCAGCTGTACCAGCTGGTGTTACAAACCATGCTTATCTGGACAAATGTGACTCATCTATTTTTGGAGCTATTGCGTTCCAATAGGCCCTTCAATTGGTAAGGCATTGGCAGAAATGCAAATGTCCAATTTCCGAAATTTCGTTGGTCTCAGAATCAATCAAAGTCATTAAGGATTCAGTTGAAAACAGGCTTCTTACCCATCAGTTACGATCACTTAACTGAAACCTGTTTTTCCTTGTCTCTTACTTGCATGTCTCTCCCTTTCAACCGTGACGCTGAAAAGAACTGTTTCATGCTGATGGATGCTACTGGCGGAAGCACGATCTGCAATATTTTTTTTATTGGAAAACAAGCGTTTACCCGGTCACAGCTACTCTTTAGGAGATTGACGATTTCCGCTGAAAGGAATCGAAATCCGAGTAGTTGCACGTTTGTGAGCTTTGGTGCTTAAGCGCATCGTTTTTCAATGCGTACATATTCTTTTCAGCGTAGTCGCTAAATTGGCGAATTGCCGGTTCTTCCAAATCGTGAATCAAGAATGCTGCTCTAACTTTTTCTCTTACGATCTTTATTGATTTAAGGATGGAGCACCAACATCCCATGTCATCGCGGGCGGTGCAATCACCAGGATTAATTTCTTTGTCAGCCGCGGATGCTACGGCCGCTGGTTCTTCTCGAACGAATATTGAAACTCTTAGGCATGAGCCCTATCACGGGCATATTATGTGCAAAAACGTTATGCCTCCGCTGCAACAGACAGCTACTTTTGTGTCTCGGCCAGCAATGCCGCTAGCTTCACATGTAAGTCTTGGCGATGTTAATGTTTCAAGTCCCGCAGTAATGTATGGAAAATGCTGATTTCTCTTTGATTATTCCTCTACATGAATTCTCTTTCAAGGCAGTCGCCCGTTCGGCTCCGCAAAATGAAGTGAAGCAGTGTCCAAGTTTGAATCTTTTACGGGTATGTGGTACGTAATAACTTTTTTCACTTCTTCATAAGCTGTTTCTTTTTTAGTCTCAATCACTAACGCACAATGTGATACCTAATCACCCGTTGATACCGCCAAGTCGCTTCATAAGCGGATCGCGTGGCTTCCATCCTCTTCAAGCTGCTCGTGAGTATTTACTTTCTTGTGATTGTTCTTAGCAAAGTTGTTGTGTCATGTTGCATTCAAATTAGGCTTGATTTGTCCCTTAGAAACTCATTTTGAAGTGCCCATTGAGCATCCCATAAAACAGCGCAATGTGTAGTCTTTTGTCGTAAAGAAATTGCCTACTTCACATCAAACGATTAAATCCAAGTGAAATACTCCAGTCCCCTGTCACAGGAGCGGTTGGAGATTTGCCAGTTGTCGTAATGTGTTGGGTTGACGGACTACTTGAACCCGGTCCTTTAAGCCGCCTCAGATCCATCTCTCGTCTGCGCTCTCTCACCTTATCAGCGCTCTCATGCCATTGTGATCACACATTCAAACTTTTGCCACACTGTTGGCTCACCCACCTCGAAGTCCCTCCCTCCTACAAGGCTTAGTCCTAGGGCTCTCACCTCCTTCCTGGGATTTGGAGCCGAGCCAGGCGCCGTTCTCTAATGTCTGTGCTCTCCGCCATTCGTGGCAGGACCATGGAAGAAAGTTCAAGTAGTCCGTAAACCTAATGTGTTGCTAAGTTTCTTCTGGAAGAACAATATTTTGTTGAACTGTTCAGTAATGATAGCTGCCGTAGACGAAGTTTAGCAGGGCTGAATATCGATGCAAAAATTTTCTTGTTGAACTCTCATTTTACACCCGTAACTCCATTTTACCTAGGCGAAGCCTCATTTCTATTACTATTCATGATGAAGTGATCGCGCGTTACCGTCCTGTCCAATCAGACCACGAATCGCCGCTTCTAACAACCGTTTCCAGTTGAATATTTATCTCAGGCAGTTTTAAGTCCCTGCTTTTCAAAACGGTTTTTGCATTATGTGAGGGCACATGGATGGACTATGGCTCGTATTTTTGGCATTAAGAAGGCCGCGGATTATGGTTCATGGACCATGGTCCGCGGCTTCCTTAATGCCAAAAAATGATCTGTGAACATTAAGCGCCACACTTTTTTGACACCAGTTTTTATTAAAAACCTACTCATATGTGTTACTGATTGTCCTGGTGGTAATGCGGCATCCATTACTAGTTGCGGGTTCCATTTTCTGACACCATGTAAGCCTCAATCGAAATGCAAAACTTTGCCGCTACTGAATCGAAGCATGAACTGATACTTCATCCTCTTTTGCGCATTCAGAGGACCGCTCAGGAAAAATGAAGCATAGTCCTATGCTCCATATACGCCGCCTGTCCAATGCAAAAATCACTTGGAAAAGCTGCGCACGACCTAAAAGACCGTCCTGTTAATTTACTGCAAGTGTCGACATTTATGCAAAAAAATGAAATAAGTAAATCTATGAAGAACACTTCAAATCATTGATGATCAGAAGTTTCAGCTGCACCGCCGTTGCGGACTCCTGCTCTTGCTACCTTTCGGGTGCGGTACGCTAGGACAGAAAGCGAATTTTTCGCTTTTTGCCCACGAAACTATTTGCGGCAAGAACCTCCGGGCCCACTCCTCATCAGTGATTGACCTGAGGATCCTGCAGCAAAGAAAGTTTT